TCAAGTCGTGTGCTAGTGAAGAACCTCAGGTTTTATTCTTGATTAGTTCTTGAAATTCTTTTTAGGATCTTTAAGACTCCCACTATCCTCTTGACATATAAGACTATCTTGCCAAATATTCAAGAGATAGTGCGGATTCTTTATCAAGACAAACACTTCACACAATTGGCCTTAGTTGGTCTTTGTTTTATCCAAAACATCACAACTTACCAATTTCAAATGTACAAGAGTAGGACACTTTTACTCTTACATTTGACAAGTGTTTTAAACCTTTCTTTAAGATATGTCACTCAAGTTACAATCTTGGAGTATGACTCTAAGAATTGTTTTGGAACGAAGTATGACTCATCTTCCTGATCTAACCATTTCAACAATTCATGACTCCTCTTCTTAGTCATAAGAATGCACTAAGATGACCTTTAGAGGACTAATTGTGATATGATTTCTAAATCATTAAGATGATCACAAACATGATACTAAAGTACTCTCCCATCTTTTCAGATTTGAGAAACTTTTATCTTTCTGCCTAATTTGATTCTTCCCATTCGTTCTGCCATACATTGAGACTTTTCCAATGTTTCAGAATTATACTTAAACTTGTAAGTATAACCATATTTACTAAACTTTAGTAAATCAAATAGTCTTAACGAGCTTTGTGGTGGACATGACCAGTGCACAAGAATGTGTACTCGATCCCTTTAGTCCTTCACTTGACTCACACATCCATGTGAACAAGTAATTAGTCTTGATTTTCCAATGCTTGAAAGTTCTCATTCATCATACTATTCAACTTGCATGATTCCAAGTTTCGGTCCAATTGAAACTTGGGTGATGAGGAACTTTCCTGATTTGGTAAATTTAGACACTACCACAAATGAAAGAATCAAATCCATTTTCCAATATTGCTGTCAGTGGAATCATATAAGCAACAATTTTCCACAAATGCCATTGTAAGGATACTTCAAATAAATAAAATTAAACAATTTTCTTTTATTTTAAAACTTTGCGGAAAAAACTTATCCTTACAATCCACATGGAAAATTGTTGTTATCTATTCCTTAGCAATATATCATAACTTCTTAAGCAACTGCTCAAAATTCTGATGCGATCGAAATCCACCTTCGCGATCAGAATCAGCATATACTTCCTTTAAGATTTCTCTCTATTCTTTGATTCTTAAAACATCAACATGTGACCCAGTCACATCATGTAATGAGGATCTCAGAATAGAACTTAACAGAGTTAGATAATGGGCTCTACCTGATGTAGAGTCAAACTTATTGACTTTAACATCCTTAGGTAAATTTGGCAGCTTTGCAATCAACGCCCCTTCCTTTGGCAAAATAAACATATGGACCCTTTGGTAATGGGACTATCTCAGACTTAGCCTTTCTCTTTACCATTTGGTCAACCGGGTTGACTATGGCCAATCCCTTTCCATTGGGAAGAGAATGCTTTTTCTGGATTTCCAGTGTCACCATTGTCACTGTCCATAAAGTTTTTGGGAAGTTGATCTTCTAATCAAATTTGCTTTACTATCGTTCCAAATCATTGCTGATTCAGCAGCACCAAGCAAATAGATATGATCATTAAGGTTCATGTCATAGTCTGTTTCATAGTAGTCCCAAAGGAACTCACTATGTGACTTAGAAAGTGATTGAACATCCAACTTTCTCAAGACTTTGACACCAACTCTCCCGGCTTGTCAATATGTGACTTCATCTCTAAGATGTGATCACACATAGACCTTGCTTGCCATTAGGGCTTGAGTGACCTTGAACTTGTGGGTTAGGGAGAATAATTGGAGGAGGTGGAGGAAGAGAAGTATGACTTCCATGAGCCAAACTCGGGAAGTCATATTCATTAGGAAAGCTTGGTTTGGGAAGATCATTGTTGTCTAAACCAGACATCAACAATGGGAGAAATTCACGTAAAGTTGATTTAAGTCCTTAATATAACACCCAATATGATATATTAAGGCTAGGACCCAACAAACTATTTTATAACTTGGAAGAGGGATGCCGTAATCCAAGCTATAAATATTTGAAGGTAGGTGAATGACGATTCACCAATTTCCACCAAGATAAACGAAATGTATTATTAGGTTTTAATTGGTTTTGAAACTCCTAGATTCTTTTGAGATTCATTGAACTTTTCAATGGCATGTTTCAATCTCGAGTGTGCCCTTCAGGTTTTGTGACTGGGATGCCGAGGATCACAAAACAAGGTGTGAAGTAACCATGCAAATATACTTGGTACCCTTAATATTTACCCCTCAATCGATGTGCCGGTTAACCACACACGCTCCAACGATACTATGATAAACATTAAGTTACCCTTTGCCTACCTTGTTAAGTCCAGGTTAGTGTGCCGGTTAACCACACACGCTCCACTAACAGCTTAAACAAAGTGCAAAGTGTAATTTCATGGATTAGCACCTTATTCACATTTTCCTAAGTAACTAAGATTGGGAATTTATAAGTGTTAGTTACTTAGTATTTATCATTATACTTATAATGAAGGGAGAATTATAGTCCTTGTCCTACCTGTTCGGCTAACGACCCTCCACCGGTCAAGGAAACGGTGAGTGAGAGTGGACACCCATTAAACTGCCATTTTATAGGCAGTAACCTTATACCCCCTTATAGACCGGCTTCGTGAATGAGGCCTACTAATGGTAAGACGACTTGCTCTTATACATATAATATATTAAACTTTTAATATTATAATAGTATAAGGGTGTATTTTAGACATTTAAAATACTTGGTGGTTTAATCTATTAATTAAACTAGACTTTTAATTTAATTAAACTCAAACCATATATTTATGGATTTAATAATACTTTTTTAATTAAACGCTTTAATTAACTATTAATAAAGTCCATAAGAGTTAATTTGAACTATTCAACAAAACATCATAATTCCAATTATTAAACTCAAAATTAAAACCATTTAATTAATTGTTTAAGTTATGAACCAAGAGTTTTAGAATTCAATTCTTTTTTTCATAAAAAACTTTTCTCAAATTCCAAAACTTGAGGGCAAGTTTTGTAATTCTTGAAAACCTTTGGATTCCATAACTTATGGAATTAATGGTGTTTTATGATGAAACTTTTCATGTTCCATAACTTAAGAACAAGTTATGGAATTCTTTAAAACATTAACACCAAATTTTGTAACTCCATAAAAACTTTGAATCAAATTTTTTTTTTAAAAAAAAAACTTTCATATCCATAACTTATGGAAGTTTCAAAAACCCTTAAGATCACAACTTTAAAAAAAACTTTTGAGCTCCAAAATTTTATGACAAAATATGTAACTCCTTAAAACATTTAGATCAAACTTTTAAAACTAATAAAATAATCATATCATTTTATCTTTTACTAAATTTGACCTAATTCAACTCATATAACAAATGATTCAAATTTTACAAATAATTCGTTTTTCACAAAACAAGTAATTATCTTAAAATTTGACAAACGTCATGTTTTTTTTTCCTTTTTTTTCAACTTGAAAATAAAATATTTGCATCAATATAACAGAAAACAACCCATGGCTCTGATACCACTGTTGGGTTTTGAGCATTCTAACACTCCTATGGTGTACATGCAACCCTATAAACCTTGGATCTATGTTTTCTCTATTATACATGCAAATATTAACTATTCCAAGGTTTCATCCTAACTAGCATATTATGAAGCACCTATACTACAAAGTTCTAGTTAGATGACATACCTTTTGATGTAGCTTGATGTCTTCAAGCTTTAAGAGCTTAGCCCCAATAGTGTGGAAGCCTCAAATGGAATCACAAATCACCAAAACACCTTGGAAGAACTTGAGAGAATATGTATGCACACTAAAATCGGCCCACTCTTATTTTCACACACTTGTGCCAATTTTGTGAGCCAAGGACCCCTTTCTATATTATGGAGGATTAGGGTTACATCCATGTAAACCCTAATACCCATGACCTTTCATTTACATAGGATCCATGGGTTAAAAGCTCCATGGACCATCCATGAAAGCTTAGCCCAACCTAAATGAACTTGGCTTATTCCATATATATATAAGAGTCCATATTTAATTAGTTTTTTTTACCACTTAATTAATTCTAAATTAATTCTTGATCAATACTAATTAAATAATATGATTCCATATTAATATATTAGAACTTATAATATATTAATATAAATCATAAATATACTATTCTCGAAAGACTATCCATATAAATTGTGTCGGTGAAGTGCAACCCAAATGGACCATGCCGGGTCGGGTCAAGTACATACCAAATATAGTTATGGACTTAGACATTAATCCAACAGAAAGTGTATACTAGTTCATTTGTAACAACATGTTACATTGTAAAATAACATTTTTATAAACTAGACTTATTGTATTTACGCATAAAACGATAATTTGTTTGCATAAACAAAGTATATAGGCACATGTATCCCCCCCCCCCGCGCGAAATAATTAGAAATATTATAAAGGGTGTAAACACTCACCCTTGAAGCGTGAGTTCATTTGTTCGAATTCGGTTTATTTTGAGAAACTTGTCATGAGAAACCGCAATGCCACAATTCTTGAACATTGAAATAATTTCGGGACTGTTTTGTAATGATGTTACACTATGGGGGTTGTTTTGTAACTTCACTAAACTATAGGGGTTGTTTGGTAATTTTACTAACCTAATTTGGACTGATTTGGCTAAAATAAATCAAGGGAGGGGTTGTTTTGAATAAATGGATTCAATGTTTGGGGTTTGGGACTTATTTTAAAATGAATGTTGCAGCACGGGATTATTTGGTCAATTTATCAAAGTTGGAAGGACTTGGGGCTTTTACGCCCTCGTCTTTTGTTTGATCGGTCAAACGGAAGGGAATATAAACGAACGAAAGTAGACACGAAGGAAAAACAAAGAGGCAGGGGTTCCTTTTCTTTTGAGTCTGATGCTTGTCAATCTATCGCAAGGAGAAAGGGAATACGTTCTATGCCTGATCAATGGGTGAAAGGAAAGCGCCATCATGCCTTGGTTGTCGAGAGAAGAAGATGCAGGCAGGAAAAGAAACACAAATAAACAACAGAAGATTCCTCTGGTACGAAATCGAGTTGGAGATGAAGGGAATCGGAAGGAGCATCCTTGCTCGAGACGAAATTTGCGAAGAAGAGGAAGCCAAGGCCAATCCGAGAGAGCAAACAAGCGATGATAGCAGCTCTGGTGAGGTTCTCGGCAGTCCTCGTTCAACCAGAGAAGGGGAGGTGCAAAGGGGAAGGTACAAGAAGGGGGTCCGATAGAGCAAGGCAAGCAGCAACAACATCGCTGATGGGAAGGTTTGGTAGTGAAGGTGGACTGATAGTGAAGGCTAAAGGTGGGGATGGTGGGAGACTGCTCTGGAGTCGATGGTGGATACTGGGCAGCAGCTCTGCCTGTTTGCTTCTTAGAAGGGAAAAAATTCACTAACGAGACAATGGGGTGGCTAGCTGTGAATTAACTCAAAGACATAGATCTAAAGGTAAATGTCTTATGATTTCTATGTACACATGAGATTGAATGGGATTGTTTGAGTACATGGTAATACTTGTATAGATATCTTGTATATGTTGTATTTGTGGATGTATTGAGTGTATGGTTGGAGGTTTATTGACAGGAAATAAAGAAGAGAATGGATGGGTTTTTCATATTTGGTTGTTGATTCTTGACAACAAGAGAAGTAGAAAAGATGAAGGCAGGAGTGGTTCTTGGCAGGAATAAGGAGGAAGAAGAAAAAGACGGGTTGCTGACCTCTTGGTGTTTCCTGACAGCTTCAATTGAGAAGGGAAATGCCAACACGTTTTTCTTTGTGTCTAACTTTGGGTGTGGAAGAATTAATAGTTTTCAATTTGTGTAAGCATGAATCTTTTAAGGATTTTTGGAGAGTACAAACTCTATTCCTTTATGTGTGAATTGTGTGGGTTGGTTTAGTGTATATTTATGTACATTGTTGGTCCTATGGTGAATTTACTTACACATGCGTAGGTTTTTAGGTATTTTGGTAATAATTTCATATACATATAATGTACATGTATTCATTTTATATATATATATATATATATATATATATATATATATATATATATATATGGTATCGGTATGGAAATCAAGTATTAAAAGTATTTGAGTACTAAATTCATCATACACGTTTAATATTGGATCTTGGAAATCATATATATATATATATATATATATATATATATATATATATATATATAGGCTTAGGTTATTCTATTCAAAGTAATTATTGTGTTATTGTATGTATAAATGTGGGCCAATCAATTTTACTTATTTTAAGAAAGTGATTAATATATATTATTGAATTAAATATAATTGAAAATATCATCTAATTTAATTACAAGGGTATTTTAGTCAATTAATATAGATTTAATAAAGGAAAATTACATATTTTAAGAGATCATAGATTCTATTAATTTTAAAAATCCGATTTTACGAATTATAATTCTTTTAATTCGGACATTCTGACAGAATATGTTTATGAGTGTATTCAAAAATAAAAATATTCTTGAACCATAAATAATAAAAATATTCGTGAACCTATTTCTTGATCATTACTTTAAAAACTTATTGTAGAATAACAAATTCTTCAGCAATCAATTAAAGAATAAAAACAAAAAATACATTATTTCTTATAGAATACGGGTAACAATTGTTAAGAATTACATTTATTGTTAAAGAATAAAACTAAAAAAAATTTCAAAATGGGAAAGAAAACATCAAAATCTAACAACGACACTAATACATTCTAAAAGAATAATTTTGCTTAGAATCACTTTCAATTTTGTGGTCCGTTCTTCAAGCATCAACTTTTGTGAAAACAAAACCAAATTGTAGTTTAGATTCCAATAATGCATTAGCAAATGAAAAATAAATCAGTGAGAAAAACCAAAAATTGTAGAACATGCATAAATCAGTGAGAAAATATCCATACTCCATTCCAACAGAATTATAATTCATGATTTCATTCCAACAGAATTAGAATTCGTGATTCCATACAATTCGTAAACAAATGCCATTGATCTTCTTCAATGGTCCATAAGCGATTGATTCCAACCGTTCTTACGAGATTGACATTTTGTGAGACTAATACCAGACGAGAATTACGTTCTACAAGAATACAATTCTGTGAGAACACATTTATCCTCCTTATCTAATATACAAAAACTTGCAGTCCCTGCTTTTGCTTTTCTCCTTTACCAGTTCAACCTCCAGATCCTTTTCTGATAATCAAAAAGAAATATCAAACTAATAATCCAACTTAAAATTAAAGTTCAGTGAAAATTCCAAGTAGTCTTACTTGATACCAGTAAAAATAGATGACCTTAAAAAAAAGTAATTGGAAGAAATGCAAAATTTCATTATGGTTTTCAGGACATTACTACACTCAAACCCAAAGGAAAAAGTGTTTCCTTTTCACAATAGATGTTGTCACAAGATCAACCCCACTCACCCCTCTCTTCTACGTTTCCTCTTAATGAACCCCATGTTTCCTTTCATTCTACATGGATTCCAGTCAAGAAATACAAGAACAATCTTGTTCTTGCCCTTATGTACCCAGCAAACCAACAAAAAAAAAGAGGGCAGTTTCCAATTCGTGTTCTTCCTTCTCCCATGCCTGTGAAAACAACAAACCCAATCACCTCTACAAACACCCATCGATTTTCTGTCAAAAGCAAACCCAAAATATCTAATTTGTTCATTTCATAGATTCATGATAAAACAAACAACATCCCAAAACACCATTTTTACCTAATTTGATTGATTGGAAAAGAGAGAGAGGGAGAGAGAGAGAGAGAAAAGAATATTCTTTTACCTGTTGATGATCGATGACCGCAACTAAACCACCAAACCGAATCGATTGCTGCCACTGTGAGCATTCGACCATGCCACCACCGGAGCCCCCTGTCACCACCTTCATCCTTCCCCTGCTACGTTCGTGAATCCTTATTCCTTCTTCGTGTGTTGATGACGATCGAACCAGCCAAGAAAACGAACCCCTTTTCCCCTCTTATTCTTCCTTCTCTGCTATCCCATCGACCACAAAGCCTTCGATGACAATCGATTCACTTAACCGCTGCTCCATCTCCCCCTTCGGCCTCGTCAGTCCCCAGAGATACCCTCTTCGCCATCGATGGCAATCGATTTTTGTAAAACTCAAGATCGATTTTGTAGTCTATTCCAATTTTGCAGATCTGCCAAGATTTGGTTTTTAGATAAAGAGGGGAACGAGATATAAACTGGAGAGATTAGTTAAAAGTCAATACCATGATTATAGGGATTATTTTTGGAAGTTACTAAACAAATTACTAAATTACCATTATTTATTTATTTATTTAATTAATTAATTTTTTATTTAATTTTGATTAGCCCACATTTATGCATACAATAACACAATAAATACTTTAAACACTTGAACCTATCTCTTTCTCTCTCTCTCTCTCTCTATATATATATATATATATATATATATATATATATATGAACTTGGGTATATAATGTTATTGAATTTTTACAATTATTTATCTTACGTACAACATGATTATTTAATGTTCATTTGTCAAATGTTAAATATAGTTTATCAAAACTATAGTAAACACATATTATATTGTAAAAAAATACTATCCTTATATATATATATATATATATATATATATATATATATATATATATATATATATATATGGGATAGGGAATATACATTACAGCCCCACCTAAGCTTAGGTACTAAACCTCTAAAATATGTCGTTTTAACTTAGTAAATATACCCAATTTGGATTTCACTTGTTAAATATACCATCCTCGATAACATTTATTTCCTCCATTATCGTTTAACATCTGTGTTTTCTTTCCTCCATTATCGTTTATTACTTCACCCTAGTGAACATTACTTTTTTTCACTGTCACGAAGGTCGAAGATAATCAATATTCTTGCTTCTTTATCAAAATTATTGTGTCGATCTTGAATCTACATCTTCAAGTGTTAATCGTGAGTCCCTAACCTCAATCTTTATATGGTAAAATGACGTATTTTCATGAGGTTTAGTACCTAAGTTTAGGTGGGGCTGTAATGTATATTCACTTTTCCCATATATGTGTGTGTGTATATATATATATATATTATATATATATATATATATATATATATATATATATATATATATCGATCGTATTGGAGGTTTACATCATTTCCGAAATACATTACCGATAATATAAATTATGTCGAAATCAATAGTTTAAGGTTTCACGATTAACTTATTCAGATTCGACAGATTTTACAAATCTGATTTTGGCCGAGATTAAATGTGATAAAATGAAATAAAGTAATAGAAAATACTGTGGGTTCAAAAACGCTCTTAGAATTTCCATCTAAGGTGTACAAGTCCATCAACGGATGGAAACAATTTTAGCAGTTTTATAAAGGTCAATATTATACTGTTTTGTTTTCTTAAAATGATTGTATTTCTTGCATACAAACTCCATTTTGGATGTTCTTTATATTTTAAAAAAAAAGGAAACATGTACTATGTGACTATAATGTTTACTTTGCTCACAACTTCTTAAAACAAAATTTCAGTTTTTCAGACGCATTAACTAGGGTTGCAGTTTGATTCGTTTGCCAATTTACATATTTGAGAGTCAGATACCATCTGGTATATTATAATAGTTGAGATAAACTCATTTAATTCACATAATATGCAATAAAACTCAATGAGTCAAATTACAAAGAGATTTGCTGTGAATTGACCGTTCACAGTCTTTAACCAAAATTCTGTGAAGTCACATTACCTCCCCATTAAGGGAATTTCATCCTGATATTATTAGGTTCTAGGCTACTTTTGTCTACTATCATTTTGTTCCACTAGTGGAGGGAGCGCTGCTGAAAAGCTGCAGGTACTTTTGTTTCATCTAGTCCTTACGTTCCCAAGTAAAATCTGGCCCTATACTAGAGTTCCATCGAACTTTTACTATAGGTATGCGACTTTGATTGAGGATTTTGATTTCTCGATCCATGATATCCACCAATTCCTCCACAAAGTGAAGTTTAGTGTTGACATGGATCTCATCGAGTGGAAAGACAAGGTTCTCATTAGAGAGACACTTTTTTGAGATTACACACATGGAAGGCATCATGAACTTTATTGAGTTCTTGACATAAATTGAGTTTGTAAGCCACCAGTCCAACCCATGTAGGATTTCAAAAGGTCCGATGTTGTTGGGTTTAGTTTACCTTGGTTACAAAATCAAATGACACCTTTTCATGGTGCGAGCTTTAGTAGGACACGGTCTCCTACTTTGAATTCTAATTGGAATTTATCCTTACAATGCATAAAATGAAAAAAAACATGTTTCTAGAAATCTCCTAAGTGTAATAATAATATATTAAGTTATCCTAACTCCTAAATTATAGCTCCAAATTCTGATCATCGAACCATATGACCGAAGTCCATCTCTCACGATCAGATTTAGCTCAGTCTACTTAAGTTTCCTTCTTTCTCTTCGATCCTTAAATAACATCAAAATGTGATCATCACATTATGTATTAAGAGTATATGAATAGGAACTTGTTAAAGTAATGGAGTTAGATAATAGATATACCTAAAGCAGAGTCACACAACTTGACTTTGCTATCTCTGAGATCTCTCAGGTATTTTGGGCAGCTTTGCAACAAATGTCCCTTCAATTGGCAATACAAACCAATAGACTTTTTGGGGTTAACACATGGAACTATCTCAGAACTAGCCTTTCTCTTTACAATACGATCAAACTATTTAACTTGGCCGAACCCTTTCCATTGGGAAAAGAAATCTTTTCTAGATCACCATTGTCACCATTGTCAATGTCGATGGAAACTTTTGGAATTAGACACTTTAAGCACCTTTGCTTCAGATGTGCTCTTAAGAATTTCTACTTCAACAACAATCAACATTTAGGTCAG